GTTTAGAATTAATTTCGAGTAGGAGCATCTCCAGTTTGCTTTTCAGTTCATTTGTACTCTTCCCCTACTGAAGAAGGGTCAAGATGCATAGAGAAGGCAAAAAGTTGAAGAATGGTCACAGAAGGATTAGATAACCATGATGTCATGGTCCTCTTGCCTCAGTAATGTGTATGGTCCTATCAGCCCTTCTTAGGCATCCTTTGGTCTCGAGAGACTATGGTATTATTCTACAATATTTAACTAAAGCACAAAAATACAACAAATGTTACAGTCAGCAAAGGACAGAAGGGACCCCCTCACCACTGCAGGAGTATACTGGATACCTTGCAGTTGTGGCCAGATCTATATTGGAAGCTACCAGGATGAATTTGACCCAACTCCGGGAGGCAGTGGAAGACAGGAGGACCTGGCATGCTCTGCTCCATGGGGGCATGATGAGTCAGACACGACTTAATGACTAAACAACAACATTAAGTGTATGTAGAAGACAGGAAAATTGTCAAGAAGCTTAATAAATATAAAGTTGTTGCACATTGTGCATACCTAGTACTCTGTTCAAAGTTTGGAAAAAAAGTGAAACAATGGAGCATTACAAGTGTGTTGGAACTACAAACCAAAGCATCCACATCAGAATCAAAGAACATGAGAGACACCGCAGACTAAAATAACCAGAAAAATCTGCAGTAGCTGAACATGCCCTAAAACAAACTGGACATGAAATTCTATTTCAAAATACTGAAATACTGGACGACACCAGCAATCATTACGTCAGACTGCACAGGGAAGCCATTGAAATCCACAAGCCCCAGCAGAACTTCAACAAAAAAGAGGAAAGTGTGAAACTCAACAACTCTTGGCTCCCAGCTCTCAAAAATACAGCATGCAAAAGGTCAACGAACTCTCCCCAGCCACAAGGACAGGGACTCACTACACACAAGACCAGCTAATGACATGCATCAACCACAGTGACAGATAATCTCTTCTCCTTAGCACAACAATACACCCACAACAAGACACACTAATCACCCATCTACAGAAAAAGACAAAAGCTTATCTCACAGCCATAAATACTCCACGCCCAAGCAAACTACACAGAGTGCTGTCCTCTGAAGATCCCGGCCACAGAGACTGGCGAGACATTAGGAAGAACAACCTTCAGGACACAGCCAAAGAGCCAAAAAAACCCCACAACAACCATTAGATCCTGGCCGTGAAAGCCTTTGCGAATACATTGATCAGAAATTTTCATATGAATTTTGGAAGTATCCATATTATGGAACTGCGCCGTCCACAGGAAAAGCATCTGAAAAAATTTGAGACGTCAGGTGAGTCTCAGTAAGTTGAAATGGTGTTTCTCTGACAACAGCTGTTCAGCAAAACAAAACAAAAACTACTGGTTGTTTTGGCTCAACATTTGCTTACCACCCACAAAGTCATTACTGCCAACCACTGACCTGATTTTGTTTCTCTTAGCCTATCTACCAGATTCCATAGACCTAGCATTCCTCCAGAGCACCACACTATTTATCTTTTCCCAAAAGGCAACCAACATGAATTTGCCACAACTCCGGGAGGCAGTAGAAGATAGGAGGGCCTGGCGTGCTCTGGTCCATGGGGTCACGAAGAGTCGGACACGACTAAACGACTAAACGAACGAACGAAAAGGCAATGTGGAGTACTAAACGACTAAACGAACGAATGAACGAACGAAAAGGCAATGTGGAGAAATGAGGGCAGGACTCAGGTTCAGCTGTAAAGACAATTGGGAGTTATGAGTGGTAGAATATAATAAAGCCTCTGTAATAGTATCCTTAGCTACTTTTAATTACTTTTGAGTTTAACATGGAGGTGAGTGGATATGATACAGAAATCATCTGACATTGTTGCATATCTCGGAAGTCCTTCAGTACTCAGAAACTGTTTCTAGCAATAGCTAATAATAGCAATAGCAAATAGTATCAACATGTACTATTTATAGGGGGAAATGTCTATTCTCCTCTATAACTTGCCTGTGTTTTATCTTATGACATAGCCTAGTGAGTGCTATTCCATTCATACAAAATAGTTCGATCTGCCAAGGTTGAGAAACAGCTATTCTAAAGCTGCTCTTTACTTTGCAGTATCTGTTGACATATTATTTTTAGAAGTTTGTGCACCGCCCTTCTAGTATTTTCACACCATTCAGAGAAACAAATGTCAATTAAAACCACTCATAAACCTTTATAAAATTACTTAAGATACCATAAATCTGAGGAATAAACATATAATTAAACTACAGAGTACGATAAGCATTTATTTATTTATTTATTTGTTTGTTTGTTTGTTTGTTTGT